ACGATTCGACCGTCGTTCTCACAGACGAGCGGGGGGAGGACGAGGAGGAGGAAGATGTCGAACAGGGCTTCGCGGAGAAGACCCCCCCGAGCCTCGGGGACGTGGGCAGGTCGAAAGCAGTCAGGGCGTTGCAGACGAGGGAGGCGACATTCACGGTCCGTTACAATTTTACCACCGAGGTGTTTGCCCACGACCGCAACGTCCGGGCCGAATGGGAAGCGTGCTTGGCGGAAGAATTCGGCGCGCCCGTCGAACGATTGTTCCTGACCTTGTTTTTTACAGCCACGGAGGGACGGAATTTGATCCGCTTGTACCTTCGCAACTTCGACCCGGTGGGATTGCTGGCTGTGGCTCTGGCGTATCTGGTTTCGTTGGTGTTGGCGACGGGCGTGGTGGGTGTCTTTGCCTTGGCGGCGGGGGGTGGCGCGGTCTTGGTCTTGCTCTACGCGGGGACCCTCCGCTACGCCGTGTGGCTGCCATGGCGCTACTTACTCTCGCCCGCTTACCACCGGCTTCAACAATGCTGGCATGCCCTGCGCCGGTGCCGAAATGGCAGGTCAGCACATCGCTCCCGTCAAACGTCTACCGCCTCCTCAGCTTCCTGCGCCCATGGATGTCCTGTGGACCCGAAGCCTTCTTGTCCCCACGTAAAGACTCCCTTTGTCACGCCCGTGCAAACGTGCGAAAGCCGCAGACCACCCGATGACGGAGGGAAAGGGAGAGTCTTTTGGCCACGGGGGCGGTTGGCGCTGCATCATCGACGGCGGCGAGACCGACACGCCGCTCCCCGGTATTTCATGTCCTTGTATCACCGATATTCACCGAGCTACTTGACCGCCCGGATCATCAGCGCCTTCTACTCCCAGTGGGAAACGATCCGGAGCAGCCCCCACCGGACCACTACCGAAGTATTGGCCAAACATATCCACCTGGTAGGAGTCTCTGAGGCGGCCCCGGAGGGACTGCTCGGTCCTCTGGTCTCCTTTAACGTCCCTTCCTTTGTCTTTGGGATCGAAGCGGTGCAAGCGGTGATCGATTACAAATTCCGGAATTTTGGCCGGGCCGTCTTAAAAACGGAGGCGGCCATTTATGCCACGCTCTTGATGACGTTCTCGGCCTTTTTGGTGGCCGTCCACGATCCTGACAACCCCGTCTTCTTCGACGCCAGGGTGGATTGGTCCCATGTCTCGGGGCGCGGTGCGGTACGGTGTGCCTTTGGGTGGGGGGGATAGTGTGTTCGGAATGGCTTGGGCGTGTAGGCCGGCGGCGACGGGTGGGGATTAAAGTCGTGCCTACCTTCCTTTCCATGCCCCTCCTCTCTCGTTGTGGAATCGGAATGCACCATCTTGTAGGGAAGAATGAGAAAGGATAGCGGTCTCGCCCCATGCTTGAGCCCTCTTCTCCCTCCCTCCCTCCCTCCCTCCCTC